CTTAGTAACTGTAGTTATAACCTAAATATAAGTCCCATAACTATAGTTACCCTAGATATAATTGGGTTATAACTACAGTTACTAAGTAGGTTATAAGTACAATGGACCTCCAAGTAACGATGGGTGCAACTCCTGCCTCTTCCGGGCACTGCGCAGACTCACGAAGGAGCAGGCCACCTGTGGCCTGCGGGCGAGAGAGAAGGTAAAATAATTGCCTTTTCGGCTATNNTTTAAGAGTTTGGGCTATGATTTTACCAACTTTTGGTGTATATTTAGGGTTTTGGGCTATGATTTTACCTACTTTTGGGGTTTAAGTAAGCCCTAAACCCAGGCAACATTCGCCTGAAAGAGTCCTAGAGCGGGGGGCTCCTGTCCTTGTTTGGAAATCAGGTCGTCATTTCGCAAGACACTGTTCTAACTACAAAAAAACAATAGTGGCCACTATAAGAGGCTGTAGGAGATTTCCTGGTTATAGTCCCCCTTAAATAGATAGAATATGGGGTATATGGGGATCTTATTATCAAATACCCAAACACAAATTCTATCTTCTTAAGGGGGACTATGTACCTGGAGCCTTTCCCCTCCGCGGGCTTGGAAGGTGCCACTCACACCGTGGGCAGCTTCAACTTTGAGAGCACATCACTTACCCCCCCCTTTCACATCCGTCTACCAGTGACGAAGTCATGGGTAACCCTAAGCCATAAAGGGGGAAGCATGGGTGGGTAGTATAGGGGAGGAGGTGGTAGGGGAACGCATGAACAAGCTTTTCTTCCCCAAACCAGTTGTACTTCAGTGGGGCTGCTACAGTAGTGATTCAGGTGGAGAATGAGGAACCCCCCCTTTTGTGGAAACCCCGTAAAAACCCTGTGTAACCACCAATATAAGCCCCAAACTGCTATGATCCTTCTTACAGGACTCCTGAACGCATATATAACCCCAATACAAATCCCACATACTCAATACTCCCTATAACGTGTATAAAAGGCCAGTTCTTAGATGTGCGCCTTGTCTTTTGCCAGATGGCCGCCCTTCTTATCCTGGCATCATAAGGGATTCGGCAGGCGCATCGTTAGGGTTTAGGGCTTAGGGTTTTAGGGCTTAGGCTGAAGTAGGGGAAAGCTACCAATCCTTGTTCAAGTTGATCACTGCACCTCCTATCGAAGTAATGCTCATGATGCGCATTGCATCCAATTGAATGACCCACCTTCGTTGCTTGCTCTTTCCTCCTCCGCTACAAGTTTAGCTGTTGGCTCCCCGAATATGATTCGTGATGGTTTCTCGCTCATTTCGGTAGGCTGTACTCTAACCGTCGCTTCTGTTGCAATTTTAGCTTCAACAGACGCTTTCACAGTCATGCTCCGTTACCCACAGCATGCCTGCGTGGGGTGGTTTCTCAAATTAGGTGTACTTTTTTTCTTTTTCGGGTGTCCCTATAACAAGGCTTATAATTTTTGGGGGTCTACATTGGGTCAGACCCTGTTTGGGGAAACCACCACGTAGAGGTACTGCACGCAGTGTCTCCGAGGCCGTAACCGCATCTGTGCGCTCGGCGACCTCCATCATGAAGGGAGCTCCAGAATTCCTCAGATTAGCATTAGTACCACTACTATGAATAATAAATCTGGTTGCAATGGTTAGGTTCATTGCTCTTAACATCCTCAGAAGTAATATTACCATTATTACTAGTATAGCTATGATTGCAAGATCTAATGTTCGTATATGACCCGCTGAGGCAGCAGCTTTGCCAACTCATTGCTAGGGATTAGGCTTGAGGCCTGTGGATCAAGGGGACCCCGGCGGGATAGCATGTTGAGATGTATATAGGGTTTAGGGCTGCGCAAAAGACTACATTCGATGGTAACCACCTTCTGGATGTTCCTGTTTCCGTTTTTCAAGCCTCAACTGAGCCCGATAGCCATACGTCGCAACATGGACATAACTTTTCCACAGCTATTTTTTGCAATGGCCAAGCGGCACACAGTGGGGCAAGATGTGGAAACATGTTTTCGCCCAGTTGTGCTCCAAATAGCCAAAGGGCACAAAGCAGGGAACTCCTTTCCCCACTTATTTTTCTCAAAACCTCAATCCAAAACCCTAGATCCCTGAACCCCATACCCTGTAAACGCTAAACCCTAAAACCCTAAAACCCTAAAACCCTGAGCCAAGAGGCGCAAAGTGGGTGAGAATCTTCAAGTCCATGGTTGCACCAAGGTTGTCTGAGTTAGAGACGAACATGTACTTGTAGCCTCGTCAGAGAGAAGGGTAAAGGATGTTCGTAATAAGTACTATTTGTTGCTACTACTACTACTACTACTACTACTACTATGATGACTACTATTATTACTATTGCTTCCAAAATTAATCTCACCAGGTTTCCTGAGAACCTGGCCTTTTTTGATCAGTTTCTCCAGCGTGCCGCTCCTGCACATCGGCGGTGGGAGATAGGACTACGTGCAGGCACGGAAATTTCCGCCCTGCAACTGCTATATAACTAGTCCCCGCGGCACGACCACGTCTGGGGGCAGATGCTGTTGGGGGAATGGTGGATGAAGTTCCAGTCGCGCATGGCTTAAGCATACCAATTAGAAATGATTGTGTGTGCTATCGCTTCTATGCTGGCCTTGCATGTTATCGGTGGGCTTTCTTTATGCTCATTCCCTGATATGAACCAGAAAGCCGCCCCCCA